AAAAAAAAAAAAAAAAAGCTTTGTTCTTCCCAGGAAGATGGGCTATTGCAACTGGGAAGAAACTAAATGACTAGCAGTTTCATAATCACTAATAAAAACAGAAATAATAAACAAGCCACTGATAAAAATAGGCACAATCAGTACTATCAGTGTCTTTTATTCCATATTATCAAGCCCTAAATCCAATAATACCACTTGAAGTGCTTTGTGAGAGGTAGTGTGTTAAAGGTTGTGTAGGCTGAGTTAGTTACCTCAGCTTTAATATTAGTGAAGTCAGCCAGGCAAGGTGGCTCATGCCTGTAATCCTAGCACTTTAAGAGGCCGAGGTGGGCAGATCACGAGGTCAGGAGTTTGAGACCAGCCTGGCCAGCATGATGAAATGCTGTCTTTACTAAAGATACAAAAAATTAGCCAGGTGTGGTGGCGTGCGCCTGTAATCCGAGCTACTCAGCAGGCTGAGGCAGCATAATTGCTTGAACCTGGGAGGCCGAGGTTGCAGTGAGCCAAGATCACTCTAGCCTGGGTGACGGGGCAAGACTCCGTCTCAGAAAACAAAAAAAAATTAGTGAAGTTAATAAGTAAAAACCAGAAGTCTGTTTTGTTTGTTTTTTGAGACAGAGTCTCGCTGTCTCCCAGGCTAGAGTGTGTGGCGTGATCATGGCTCACTGCTGCCTCAGCTGTCCAGGTTCAAGTAATCCTTCTGCCTTAGCCCCCCAAGTAGCTGGGAATATGGGTGCCACCATGCCGGCTAACAAAATTTGTGTTAAAATGTCTTGGCCGGGCATGGTAGCTCGCGCCTATAATTCCAGCACTTTGAGAGCCCGACGTGGGAGAATGACTTGAGCTCAGGAGTTTGAGATCAGCCTGGCCAACATAGTGAGACTGTCTCTACGATAAAAAAGAAAGTGGTCGGGCGCAGTGGCTCACGCCTGTAATCCCAGTACTTTGGGAGGCTGAGGTGGGCAGATCACCTGAGGTCAAGAGTTCAAGACCAGCCTGGCCAACGTGGAGAAACCCCGTCTCTACTAAAAATACAAAATTAGCCGGGCGTGGTGTTGCATGCCTGTAATCCCAGGTACTCAGGAGGCTGAGGCAGGAGAATTGCTTGAACCCAGGAGGCGGAGGTTGCGTTGAGTCAAGATTGCACCACTGCACTCCAGCTTGGACAACAAGAGTGAAACTCCATCTCAAAAAAAAAAAAAAAGCTGGATGTGGCAGCATATGCCTGTGGTCCCAGCTACGAGGGAGGCTGAGGGAGGAGAATCACTTCGGCCTTTGCAGTTGATGCTGAAGTGAGCCATGATCGCGTGACTGCACTCCAGCCTGGGCAACAGAGACTCTGTCTCAAAAAAAAAAAAAAAAAAAAAAAAAGAAAAAAGAGTCTGTTCACCTGGGCAGCCAGGGTGGGGTGAATTTAGCACACATGTGGAAAGCCAGTCTGTCTGGAACACTGCTGCTGTCTGCAGCCTGGGAAGCAGCTCCTCAGCCGGATGGAGTCAGGTCAGGTGGGTAGGAAGGCGTGGATATCTTCCTCCTGGGCCAGGCTGCTCCAGGCTGCCCATGATGTGTAGGGTGCTAACTACAGTCTCATATAGGCACCTCCAGCAGTAGCCAGGCTAGCTCTACGCCTGTGGCCAGCCCTGGGTCCTGTGCTCCGCAGTCATCCTAAGGCAATTCAGCCCCAGTGCCTCCTAGGCTCTGCATGGTAGCTCCTGACCACAGGAGTTCTGGCACCAAAACCCAATTATTTTTTCTTGTCCACATAAAAGTGGGTATGTCAAAGTGTGAAATTACTGGCTTTCATCCTAAAATTACACCCCAAAGACATCCCTGACCTCATTCCCACTGCTGACCCCACCTCTGACCCCCAATAGTGGGGTGTCAGCAATGGAGGGAGGTTTACAGAGTCATTCATTTATTTAATCAACGGATATTTGTTAGATGCTTACTATGTGCTTACAAGCCCCTGCCCTCATGAAACTTACTGTCAAGTGGAGGAGAGGGACTTAAAAATGCAGATAAGGTGATCCAAAGAAGGATGCTCTGTAAGACGAGATAAGCGCGCCACCGTCCTCCAGCATAGCGCTGCGCGTGTGCGGCAGGGAGACAGCGGGACCTGAGCTCTGCCAAGGCCAGAGACAGGCCACCTCATCCTCCTCCACTGACAAGGCTGTGGGACCTCAGGGCCTGTGGACCCCAAGGAGAAACCCCTTTTTGGGAGTTGTCCATCCTGGACTCAAGCACCAACCACACTCATGGGTTCTGAATGCCTGTGGGTCCTCAGGGCCAAACTGCAGATGCCACTGCTGCCAACTTGAGACCTGAATGGCCACAAGCTTTCGGACGATGCTGTCCTTCTAGAGGAGACATTCTCAGGAGCTTTATGCCAAAGGACACTGTCCGTGGAGAATCTGTCTGATTTGGAGATCACATAATATGCCCCCTTCCCCCACATCCTGAAATCCCAGTGGGCCACTGGGGAGCACAAGGTCTGCTGTGCACAGGGTGAGTAGAAGATCACTCCTGGCCTGACTTTTTTATTTTTTTGAGATGGAGTCTTGCTCTGTTGCCCAGGCTGGAGTGCAGTGGTGCAATCTCTGCCTCCCAGGTTCAAGCAATTATCCTGCCTCAGCCTCCCAAGTAGCTGGGATTACAGGCACGTGCGACCACGCCTGGTTAATTTTTGTATTTTTAGTAGAGACAGGGTTTCACCATGTTGGTCAGGATGGTCTTGAACTGACCTCGTAATCCGATCACCTCAGCCTCCTCAAGTGTTGGGATTACAGGCATGAGCCACCACACCTGGCCTCCCAGCCTGACTTTTAGGAGAGTGAAACTTTGCAGCCACACAACATGACATTCTGGGAAGGATTTCAGTTCAAATCTGATTCCAAGGCTTTTTTCCCCAACCCAGGCTAACACACTCAACCAGGCAGGGTGGCTCAGATCAGTACAGCACAGTCTACTACTTCCTACTTGACATTTTACAGATGTGGATTTGGGAGTGTTCCGCAACTTGCCCAAGGTCATGCCTGTGAGAGGCAGGCCTGGGAAAAGATTCTGGGCCTCTTACAGTCTTTTCTCCCTGAAGGATCAGGCATTACACAACGGACAGCATGATTTTGTAGTAAACGACTCTGGAGTTACCCTTATGCCCTTCTCTGTGATTGACTTGCTCTGTCCCCACCCCTCTAGGGAGTGTCCCAGGGAGACTGTGGGCTGCTGTGACTGTGGGCTCTATAGTTCTTTATTCCCATCCTTTCAGGCCTGGGGACAGACCTACACTGGTCTGCTGTGGGGAGTTGCTGATTCCCATCAGATGACTTCAGAACTCTGTGGCCAGCCTCCTCGCTGTCTGTGTTCCCACACCCAGGGCACTCTGTGTCCCTAGATCTCCCACTGCCTTCCTTCATCTGGGCCCTAATCATAATCCTATCACCTCCCGCCCTAAAAACCCTTACTTGCAAGATCAAGTCCATGCAACTGGATTAGGTGTTTGTGATCCCCTCTAATCTGGACCAAAGTCTCACCTCTCACTCCTCCACACTCACGTCCTGATGCCCTCAATAAGCGGCACTGCAGCGGAAGTGCACCATCACAGGCATATGTGACACATGCACACTCCACTATGTGGCTCAGCCAAAAAAAAAAGAAAGAGTGAGGCTGGGCACAGTGGCTCATGCTGGCTTTCTGCCAGCACTTTGGGAGGCCGAGGTGGGCAGATCACGAGGTCAAGAGATGGAGACCATCCTGGCCAACATGGTGAAACCCCATCTGTACTAAAAATACAAAAATTAGCTGGGTGTGGTGGCGTGCGCCTGTAGTCCCAGCTACTCGGGAGGCTGAGGCAGGAGAATTGTTTGAACCCGGAAGGCAGAAGTTGCAGTGAGCCGAGATCACGCCACTGCACTCCAGCCTGGCACCTGGCGACAAAGCGAGACTCCCGTCTCAAAAAAAAAAGCAAGAGTGAGAAAAAAGTAACCATGCAAAGATGGTCCTGGAGGCTCTGTCTGCCACCCCAGTCCATGAGTGAGAGCAAGGGGGCCAGGCAGGAGACATGGCCCTGTTGTTTGCTCCTGTGCTCCCATCCTTGTGGGCCCCTGCCAGAATGAACATCTCCTCACCGTGAGAATGATCCCAAGGCCAAAATACCAGCACTGGTTGCACCACACAGCCCCCAAATGCAAGGCAAGCACTTCATGTGAAAGAAACACAGCATCTGCTCTGGTGCAGGAGGAAAAGCTGGCTGCAAGGGCCTAAGACAGGCTGGCCTTAACATGTGGGCAGAGAACGTTTTCAAGGATAAAATGATACAGTACTTTTACATTTTGGAGCAGAATCACTGAATATTCTTCCAAATGTGGCTTTCTGCCCTCCACCTTGCTCATACTGCTTCTGGTATCCTTAAGATTCAGCTCCAATGTCCCCTCTTCTGGGAAGCCTTTGCAGACAAGACAGCTCAACAGGCCTGGTCACACCCTCTTCCATGTCCCAAATGCCTTTGAATTTCCCCCTATCAAGGCAGTGAGACACGCGTGATGCTCACGTGTCTATCTCCCCCAGGAGTCCGGCTAGGCAGTGAGGCAATAACCCAATTCCTTCAACTCCTTGGGCCCTGCTTGGATCTTCTAGAGACACCACTGTGCCAGGCCTCCTGATGAACCAGAGAATGTGCCGTGAGGTCTGTTCCTACATGGGGAGGCAGAAGACCCCTTACCTGGTGCAACCATAATCTCATTTTTCTTGGAGCGAATTCGAAGGAAGGTGAGATCGTTCTGGGGGTCTATTTCACGCACGGTGCTCCGTGCCTTCAGGATGAAGCTGTGCATGAGGCTGGCATACTGGGTGGTGGTGGGGTTGTCCATGGTGCTCTTGATGGGAATGCCTGAGGGGAAAGCAGACGGAGACTGAGAGGATGTAGAGCCCCTTCTGCTGAGCTCCCACCCACATCTCTAACTGGAGAGAACTGGAATAGCAGTTACCAGTCAATGCTGCCATCCTCAGAGGGATTGCTATGTGACAGGCATGGTGCTGTGCACCCAAAGCATGCCAGCACCATGCCCTAGAACTATTCTGTGGGTGGCAACATCATATCATTCACCAAGAGGCTCTGAGCAGTGAGGCGAACTGTCAGTAGTCACAGAGTGGGGCCAGGATTCATACACAGGCCTGCTGGCTTACTCCTGGGTTCCTTTCCCAGGGCTGACTGGTTCCCAGCGGTAAAAGGAGAGACTAGCTCCAACTCAAGCAGAGACACAGATTAAAAAACTAATTAAAAAAAGTGTTTTTAAAAAAACTAATAAGGTTTTTAATAAAAAACTAATAAAATAAGTTTTTTTTTTTTTTTTTTTAAGGGAGACTCTTCATAATGCTTAGAACCCAAACCAGGAAGCACTTTTACAAATTTCTTTTTCTTTTTTTTTTTTTTGAGACAGAGTCTTGCTCTGTGGCCCAGGCTGGAGTGCAGTGGTGCAATCTCTGCCTCCCAGGTTCAAGCGATTCTCCTGCCTCAGCCTCCCGAGTAGCAGCAATTACAGGCGCCTGCCACCATGCTTGGCTAATTTTTGTATTTTTAGTAGAGATAGGTTTCACCATGTTTGCCAGTCTGGTCTCAAACATCTGACCTCAGGTGATTCACCCACCCCGGCCTCCCAAAGTTCTGGGATTATAGGCATGAGTCACCGCGCCTGGCCTTATAAATTTCTAAATACCAAAAAGTAGAAGAGAAAAAGTCAACTTGTGTTGGGATATAACCATCACCGTTCCCACCCAAGGGAGGCTTGGGGTCCAGCTGTAAACACACTGTCCACATGACTGTGTGCCCAAGTTAAAGCATGTTTCTATGTGTGTATGACAAACACAGAAACATGAAACATATGTTGACCCTTTGTAAATAGCACTGTTACCTCTTTCAAAGAGCCCACTGAGTGGGCAGTCCACAGAGCTCCCCAGCCTCTGTTGTTGGCTACTTAGGGGGTGGGTGTGTTACCAGTGTAATTATCTGGGCAATGAACATCACTGTGTACCAAACCTTTTGTTTGGAGGACTATGTCCTTGAGATGAACCATTAAATAGACCTTACTCACTGGATAGTGCCTACTGTCACAGAGGTAAGGAATGTGGCTCAATTGGGCCAGCAGGTACCTGTGAGTTGGCTGTGACATATGAGCAGAAGGTTCCATCCATGAGCCCCAAGAGCCTGCCAGCTGACAGGCACTTGAGGAATGTGGCACAAGAGGCTCCTCATATGTAAGTGGCCAGCTTTGGGGCCCAGGACCCTGCTTATCTGGCCCACAGCTGCTTAGCCTAGGTGTTGGCCAAAGGCAGTTAGTTATCAGGCTGACCGGCTGGGTGGTAAAGAAACTGGCCGGATCTCCTAGGGCACGAGGAATGCAAGGGTGGGCAGAAGAGGACATGGTGGCAAAAGAAGCAGGTGAGTCAGAGACTTTTTGAGCCAAGTGAAGTCAGGGGAACAGGTTGTCATCATCACTTGTCTGCAAGAGACAAGATGACCAGGTCACCACAGCTTCTGCTGGCTCCTGGATGGCCACAATGTGCATGGTAGGACCCTGTGAGGCCTTCTCTATAGGTGAAACTTCCTGAGGATGGCAGTAATTATTGCATCCATTATAATCTACCCACGATGGGGCAGCAATGGGGTAGGAGCCACCACGACCCCCTTCTGCCCACCATCGCATTCCTGGGGCCCTAAGAAAACAAGATTGGGCCAGTTTCTTGCACCCAACAGGTCAGTCTCATGACTGCCTTTAGCCAATTCCTAGGCTGGGTAGCTATGGCCAGATTAACAGGGCCCCAAATTGACCTTACACTCAGCTTTGCCCCTTCATAGCTATGCGGGCTTGAACAAGTGATAAAACCTCCTGAGCCTCCACTGCCTTATCTGTAAAATAATATCTGTGCTTCAGGGGGCTTAAAGGCCCCATGGATCAGCGGGAAGTATGACCAACCCAGATCCTGGGTTCTGACCACACCCATCCACAGCTGGGTGACCTTGGCCAGTTTCCCACACCTCTTTCAGCTTTGGGTTTCTCATCTGAAAAATGGGCAAACCCTTGCCTTGCAGGGTCACTTTGTGAGATGTAAACGAGACACTGATGTGGGTGCCCTGAGAATGGGACACATGTTAAAGACACACACACACACACACACACACACACACACACACACACACACTCTCTTACTGAGACATTCATAGGCATTCTATGCCAGGCACTATTCTAAAAACTTCCCCTAGAGGAAGGCAGAATTATCTATATTTTACAAATGAGAAACCTGAACAGAGAAAGTGGCTTATGCCCGAACCACATAGCTGCTAAGTAAGTAGGGCCCGGACTCAAAGCCAGGTGGGCTCATTCTGTATTCCATGTTCTCAGGTATGGTGCGATTAGTCCCATGAGTAAACAAAAAAGCAGCATTCACTAGTATCTAAAAGGTAAGCAGCTGGGGCTAGATCTCCCCAGTGAAAAGGCTTGGCTTTAGGGGCAGTTTCAAGGCAAGAATGAGAACCTCTCCTTTGCGGGTCTGGGTGGAAGCCTAGGGGTCACAGCTGGGGCTGCTGTCCCCTGGGGTTGTTTCCTTGGAGTCAAAATGTCCAGTCCCAGGTTTCTCTCTTAGTGACAAAAGTCTTTCAGGTCTTGAAGCAAGAGGTACCCAAAAGAGATTCCCTGGACCATCACTGCACTCGAGGCAGTTGGGAGCTGAAGAGGGGAAAGGAGTTGCCTCAGGCCACCCAGCTGATCAGGAGCAGCCTGAGCAGGGGGCCTGGTCCGGCCTCCACAGTGTCCCAAAGGCTCCTGGTCTCCTGTGAATGAAATGACCACATAGTTTAATCAGAACTAGGCAGGGCTGGGGAACATGCTCTGTCTAGCTCTGTGTTTGCCAGGGCTCTGCTGACTTGGAAATCAACATTGTGGTGTTTTTTTGTTTTTTTTTTTTGAGACAAGGTCTTGCTTTTGTTGCCCAGGCTGGAGTGCAGTAGCGCGATCTTGGCTAACTGCAACCTCCGCCTTCCCTGGTTCAAGCGATTCCCCTGCCTCAGCCTCCCGAGTGGCTGGGATTATAGGCGCTTGCCACCACGTCCAACTAACTTGTATTTGTAACTGTATTTTTAGTAGAGATGAGATGAGATTTCACCATGTTGGCCAGGCTGGTCTCAAACTCCTGACCTCAGGTGATCTGCCACCTAAGCCTCCAAAAGTGCTGGGATTACAGGTGTGAGTGACTGCATCCAGCTGGAAATTGACATTCTATCCAAAGACACAGCACCTCTACTTTGCTGCCCTTGATGGCCTTCATTCTGCTTGATTTAAGTAGGAATTGCTGAGAACTCTGCTTTTCCAAAACAACGCCTAGACTGACATCATGCATAAGAGGCTCTCTAAGAGCACTGAAAAAATTAGAGCCCACTGAATACACTGGGCTAGAGAACTGGGGCTGCAGTGGGGTGGGGGTGTCCAGCGACTGGGCATGGCCTGACCTCTTGGGATGTCCATGTGTGTCCATAAAGGTGGCCACAATAATGTTTACCCTGTGAGGCAGCCAAGAAACACGTAATCAAACTGTGCCCAGCAGAGCACCAGGCACGTGACAGATACAGGTACTTCTATATCACCTCTACCCACAGGGCCGCTTGTCAATCCTGGCCTGTGGGAGCAGCCCCTGGGCTGGGCACTGAAGGGCCTACACACTCCATTATTACTTATTTTTTTTTCAAGAGACAAGGTCTTGCTCTGTTGCCCAGGCTGGAGTGCAATCAGAGCTCCCTACAGCCTTGAACTCCCGTGCTCAAGCAATCCTCCTGCCTCAGCATCCTGAGTAGCTAGGACTACAAGTGTGCACCACCACGACTGCCTAATTTTTCATTTTTTTGTGGAGTAGGGGGTCTTACTATGTTGCCCAGGCTGGTCTTAAACCCCTGGGCTCAAATGATCCTCCTGGCTAGGCCTCCCAAAGTGCTGGGAGCAGGTGTGAGCCACCACACCCAGCCATTATAATAATTATTAATCTACTGATTATGGCATCTAACATGCTTGCAACAATTTTGGGCTTTTTCCTTTGGGATTATTTCCTTTGAACACAGTCCTTCGGAATTTCCAAATCAAAGGAGCTGATGGCAACACTCACTGTGGTTGGTTCACTTAATGTTCACTGACCTGACTCTGCAGCTTGTGGTGAATGACACAGGAACAGAGGTGAGTCAGGCATGGCCCTTGTCTTCCTTCACTGGCCACACTGCTGCTAACAGCAACAGTGTCTCAGCGGACTCCTCTCCTCCCAGCCTCACATAAATTGGTTTACGTTATTTTTGTAAACTGTAGTAGGGTAGTTTTTTTTTTTTAGTAGTAGGTAGTTTTTAAATTGGCCAAACCCCTTCCCGAATTAAAACCAATGTAGAATCACAAGCTGATGGTTCAGTGTGTGTGCTCTGACTGAAATGGAGGACAGGAACCCCAGCCTCTACCTCTACTTCCAGGGAGAGCAAAGGATCCCTAGGTTTAAGGAACACGGCCCTGGACACATGATCAGAGGCAGTCTCTCCAAGGGAAAGCCTTCGGAAGGTGACAGAACTGCTGTGAATCTTAGGCCTGTAGCTCTCTGATTAGAATCTATCCCCTAAAGCAGAATTTTCTAAACTTGTCTGATCATAAGAATCTCCTGGGACACTTGGTAAACACACAGATTCCCTGGGTCTTGCTTTGGCCCTAATAAATTAGACTTTTTGGTACAGAAGCCTGGAAAGTTATGTTTAACAGGAGCCCCAGGTGATTTCAAAGCATGAATACATTTGGGAAACACTGTGGCCTAGCGGCATGAAGCATGTGGATGCCCCCAACCCAGCAGGGGAACCCAATCAGGTAAATCAGGGTTTGTATGAACAAACGCCTCACAGCTCAATATGGATGGTGACTAGCTGCTTTATGCTGTTCATTCTCAGTTATTATTCAACTTTTAAGGTAGATATAAGTTTTATCCCCATTTACAGGCTTAAGCGACTTGGGCAAGGTCACAAAGCTAGTCAGGGGAAGAGGCAAGATTCAAACTTACAACTGCTGGATTCCAGAGCCCCTGTCCTTACTGCTGCCTGGTGCGTGACAGCCTGGGGGCCATTCTGGTTCCTTACAGCATGGTGTGGGAGAAAGCGCACAAGCGCACTCAGACAGGCTTAGATTTAAATCTCGACTCTATGATGGCAGGCAGATCAATTTAAATTTCTAGACTGTTTTCTTCACTGCAAAATGCACACATCAGGGCTGCTTTAAGGAATATAAGAGAGTACGTGGAGCATCAGCCAGAAGGCTGGCACAGAGCGGGTGTGTGAAAAATGTTAGCTCCTTCCCTGTCCAGTGCAGTCTGGGAAAATTAGTATCTGTACCCTTCTACCTATATAAATTCCCACCCAGAAAGGGCTGTGGCGGGGAAGCTGCAGGTAGAGAAGTGAACTAGAGCACTATCCAGCCAGTGAAGCAGAATCAACACAAATGGGTATGTAATACCCACTTAATGGATTCACTAAAAGGTAGAAACAACAAAACTGGGCTAATGAACATTGCACTGGCACTTTAAAAATCTGCTTATATAAACCATGAAGCAATATTTTAAAAAGCTCATGTGTAAATGTATGCCAAAGGATAGCAACTATGATTATGGTCGTCAGGAACTGTGCTGGACAAGGCTGAGTAAGCACGGAAGACTGGAGTGTGATCTGTCAGGGTGGTAGGACTGAGTGGACTTTCCCTTTGTGAGGACACTGGAGGTGGCTGGTTCAAGTGCAGTAGTGTTTACACTAATTGCTCACAACCAGTTACTGATTTCTTTGTCCCTTCTCCACTCCCACTGCTTCACCTGACTAGCCTTAAAATAAAAAAAAAAAAAAAAAAACACTGAAGGTATTAAAAATTAAAAAGGCTTATTAGATCCGGTTCAGCTGGGCACGGTGGCTCAAGCCTGTAATCCCAGCACTTTGGGAGACTGAGGTGGGTGGATCACGAGGTCAGGAGTTCGAGAATAGCCTAACCAACATGGCGAACCCCTATCTCTACTAAAAATACAAAAGTAGCCGGGTGTGGTGGTGCATGCCTGTAATCCCAGCTACTCGGGAGGCTGAGGCAGGACAGACACTTGAACCCAGGAGGCAGAGGTTGCAGTGAGCTGAGATTGTGCCATTGTACTCCAGCCTGGGCAACAAGAGCAAAACTCTGCCTCAAAGAAAAAAAAAAAAAAGATTCGGTTCATGAAGGGCTTAGTAAATAGCAAGGGCTATGCTGTTATGGTTGCTTCTGGGCCTGGGCCTGCCTGGGAGTGAGTCATGGCAGGAGGAAGGGAGGGCGTACCTTCTGTGTTCACCACGATGATTCCCTGCACTCCCTTCTGGCTCTGAAGTCGCTTCAGTGTCTCCTCCACTTCTGCCTACCAGAAAAACAGACCAAGGTTAGGAGAGGCCAAGAGGCAGGATTAACTTCCTTATGCCCCAGGCAGATGAATCACACATTTGTCTTCCAACAACAAACAAGTAATACAGGCACCTGGCACCCCCTCAAAGCTCCCCAGGCTGATCTGACGTGCTCCTCCGGCCACCACCAGTGCCCAAGAGCATCCACTCACACCCCTACTCACATTCCTACGTGGGACAAGGCTGCTCCTGGCGCTCTGCCCACCAGGCACTATTATCCCACCCTCCTCAGCTGTTGGGGAGCAGAATATAACACCATTCCCATGTATATACACGTCCATGACTCACATAACATATTTGGCATAGCTTGGGGACAGGACTCCGATGATTTAAGAAAACCCAGAGTGGTGTCTTAACAGGACAACAAAACTTTGTCATTTGTGGTGTGGCCCAAACAGCATATAAGGATAGACTCAGTGACTTCAGCAGGCATCTGAGATAGTATGATACACAGCAGTTATAAGAAGTATGTCTCGGAAAGGGGCTCATTGATCTCGATTACCCAGAAAATGCTCAGGTGGGCTACTCCTGCACACAGCATCTGTAGCAGAGGGGCAGTTGAAGTTTGGGTCCTCATTCTGCCATGCCAGGCCTGTCCCTCCCACCTGTCCTACCTTTCCCTCCACTCTCTAGCTCTGTGACACATCTCCCTGTCCCCACATCTTTTTACCCCACAAGGCCTCTTCTCTGCTGAAATCCAACAAACAGATGTCTTAGACCATCTAAGACATCATCCTCCACAAAGCCCTGATCCCCCAATCAATGGGGTCTGCCTACCTGTGACTCCCCAGTCCCTAGCTGTGCCTCTCTGGGACATGCATTAGGTACTATGCCTATTTCGTAGAGACTCTACAAAGGTCTGCAGAGTTGGGAGTGTGATAAACGCCTGCTTCACTGAAGTAGGCCTAACTCTTCCTGTGGATGAAAACTGGGCCTGAGGTACACCTGATCTCAGGTGGCCCCTCCAGACTGGTCTAGAATCCAGTCAGAAGACCCTCAAAGCCTGAGAGTTGTTAGAAACAGAGGCTTCATTCACCAAAAGAAAACAGTTCATCACCCCCAGGGACTAACAAGTTGGGAGGGGGAATCCTCAACACTGGGTGGAGACTGCACAATGAATTCTTGTTTTTCTGGAAGGCACAAGGCTGACAATCCAGTCACTGCCACCCACTCCCCTGTGACAGAAGAATACTCTCGAATGCAGGAGGGAAGGGTAAACAAGTTCCTCCTGTAAAGTGCCAAATAGCCTGACGCCTCTAAGATCTGGAGCCTGGGTACGATGACAGGGCTCTGTGGACATGAGAGTACAATGTAGCGGGTCGCACGTGTATGAGATCCAATGTCAGTCAACACACTCACTGAGCTCCTACTGTGTGGCAGGGGCTATTCTGAAGGGGAGGAGTGGGGCACAACAGTGGTTACTGCTATACAGTACTCAGTCTGCCCTGGTCACCATCCTGAAAATTCATCATGTACCAAAGTACAGTGACATTTGCAATAGTATAATGCAGAAAGAACTAAAAATGCCCAACAATTAGGGAACAGGCCAAGTAAGTTATGGAATATCCACTAATAGGAATGTAATACACATATTACCAATGGTGATTAGACCATGTTATACCATCACAAAAGCTGTGTATTATAATGTTAAGTGAAAACAGCAAAATGAAAAATAAAGTGCTTTGGTGACTGCAATCACAAGAAAACAAAAGGCTAGAGGAGATTATAAAAAAAAAGAGCCACATTAAGAGCAAGGAATTATAGATAAGGTTTCATTTTTTTTTTTTCAAAACAGTCCTTTTCATTCTACTGTATTGTTTCTATTTAAAAACATTTTAACCCCCATCTATGTAACCAATTGAAGCCTATGATACAGGGCTCTGATGCACCCAACGTTGTCAGAATAAGAATATGTAAGAACTTGGATGACAATTTAGGACAGCTCAATCAATCTGCAATCAACCCTGAAAGAAAGGGGAAAAAAAGTAAAAACAAAAATGTCAGAATCTAAGTCCAAAATATCCCCCAGAGATTGGAGAGGGGGGCTGAAAAAGATGAAATTTGCTAAGACTGCTACTCATTCAGTAACTACACGGCAACCTTCCTTGTGCCAGACATTGTTCTAGGCCTGAGGATGCTGCAGTGAACAAAATATAACAAAAAATCCCATGTTATGAAACTGACATTTGTGGGAGGGGGTTGGGGGTAGGACATTAACAAAACAGAAGTAAAACATGAATGTCAGCAGGGAAATGGGATCTGGAATGCAGGGTTGATGCAATATGAAATACATCATCAGAGAAGGCTCACCAAGGCTATAGTGAGTAGACTTTTGAAGGAAATGAGGAAGTTAGCCATGCTGGTTTCCAGGGAGTGTTCCAGACAGCACCAAGAGCAAGCACAAAAGCCCTGGGGTGGGCAAATGCCTGGCACATTTTCAGGAAAAGCAATGGGGCCAGTATGGCTGAAGAGTAGGGAGCAGGGGAGGGGCGGCAGCTGGGAGCCGGGACCAGGCCACAGACGGCCTGGCAGACCAAGTGATGATCTTGGTTTTTACTGGGTATGATTTCTGGAGCCACTGTCAAGTTTTGAGGTAAAGAGTGACAACACCTGATGTTTCCAAAGGACGGCTCTGGGTGCTGTGTGGAGAATGGACAGCAGGGGGCAAACAGAGCCTGCGGGAGCCTCCCACCCCTGCCCTGCCGGGTACTGCCGCTGGTCTGAAGGAAACAAGTTTCCCTCCTTCAGTCATTGTTTGATGTAACCACCTCCCAACCCTTTGAACTCAGCTCCAGAGCCTCCCGCCAGGAGGCTTCTCTGACACCAGCCCCTCTGCTTCTGTGAAGGTCCCCAGCCTTCACAGCACTGACCACAATGCAGTGCAACTGTTTAGGTCATGTTCATCTCCTCCTCCAGACACAAAGCACCCTTCCAGGAAATCGGACCAGAGTTTACAGCTCCAGTACCTTGCAGAGGATAGGCTCAATGAATACTGAAGGAACAAATAAAAAGCATTTCTGCAACTATGTTTCATGAAATCAATCTTTTTAGGTACAAGAGGGGGACATGGCCTCACACTCCACAGTGTGAAAAAGAGCTAAGATCCAAAATTTAACGAGAACCAGACACAAGATCTGGCTGTCTAACTGTGAACATGGGACAGATGCGGTGGCTCATGCCTGTAATCCCAGAACTTTGGAAGGCCGAGGCAGGCGGATCACTTTAGGTCACAAGTTTGAGACCAGCCTGGCCAACATGGTGAAACCCCATCTCTACTAAAAATACAAAAAATTAGCTAGGTGTGGTGGTATGCACCTGTAGTCCCAGCTACTCGGGAGGCTAAGGTAGGAGGATTGCTTGAACCCAGGAGGTGGAGGTTGCAGTGAGCCAAGATCACCTACTCCAACCTGGTGACAGAGCGAGACTCCATCTCAAAAACAAACAAACAAACAAAAGTAAACACGGCCAGGAGCAGTGGCTCATGCCTGTAATCCCAGCACTTTGGGAGGCTGAAGCAGGTAGACTGCTTGAGCCCAGGAGTCTGAGACCAGCCTGGGCAACATGGTGAAACCTTGTCTTTACAGAAGAGAAAAAAAATTAGCCAGGCATCATGTCGTGTGCCTGTAGTCCCAACTACTTGGGAGGCTGAGGTGGAAGGATTGTTTGAGTCAAGGAAGTCAAGGCTGCAGTGAGCCATGATCACACCACTGCATTCCAGCCTGGCCAACAGGACTCCTCAAAAAAAAAAAAAAAAAAGGAAGAAAGAAAAAGAAATAAAGCAAACATACATCTATCAGGAATGGGAGGACACACAGGTATAATTTCTCTACCCAGCACCTACTATGAGTTATATATTGCTTTCAGACACATGCTCTTTTCTGAAACTCTCATTCACGATTAGTATGATCTCCATGTTACTGATGAGGAAACAGGTTTGGAAAGGAGAAGGGTTTTGCCCAAGATAGCAGGTCGACAGAAGAGCCGAGTATACTGGTGACCACAACTGAGGAGGTCCCTGACCTCAAGAAGCTCACATTCTGGTGAAAGAGACTTAAAAAAGTAAACAAGATTCTTGTAGGATAAAGGGACTAGGCAGTGGGGCAAGGGATGCTACTCTGGCTAATGTGGTCAGGAACTCCTGAGGAGATATAATTTTTTTTTTTTGAGCTAGGGTTTCACTGTCACCCAGGCGTGCAGAGGTGTGATCACGGCTCACTGCAGCCTTGACCTCCCAGGTTCAAATGATCCTCCCACTTCAGCCTCCCAAACAGGTGGAACTATCAGGGTGTGCCACCAAACCCAGCTAATTTTTTGCAGAGATGGGGTTTCGCCATGTTGCCCGGGCTGGTTTTGAACTCCTGGGCTCATGGCCAGGCATGGTGGCTCATGCCTGTAATCCTAGCACTTTGGGAGGCCAAGGCGGGGGGATCACAAGGTCACAAGTTCAAGACCTGCCTGGCCAACATGGTGAAACCCCATCTCTACTAAAAATACAAAAAAAATTAGCCAGGCGTGGTGGCAGATGCCTGTCATCCCAGCTACTCAGAAAGCTGAGGTGGGAGAATCACTTAAACCCGGGAGGTGGAGGTTGCAGTGATATGAGATCGGGCCACTGCACTCCAACCTGGGCAACAAGGCAAGACTCCATCTCAAAAAGAATAATAAAAAAAAAAAATGAACTCCTGGGCTCAAGCGATCTACCTGCTTTGGTCTCCCAAAGTGCTGGGACTACAGGCATGAGCTACCATTCCCGGCCACAGGTATGTAATCTTTAAGCCAAGAACCAAATGATGAGAAAGAACAGGCAATGGGGTGATGGAAACAAGGCGCCCCAATTCTCTAGTTCCCAGGTGCACATTCCGGACAGATGGAAAAAGAGCAGCAATAAAGATCCAGGAGTATCCACTGGCACAGCATAGGAGGGATGACCATTAGAAGTAAATGACTGACGGAAGAACTATGACCAATTTGACCGCTAAACATAAAACTTCTGTATAAGAATAATGAATCTAGGGCCGGGCGTGGTGGCTCAAGCCTGTAATCCCAGCACTTTGGGAGGCCGAGGCGGGTGGATCATGAGGTCAAGAGATCGAGACCATCCTGGTCAACACGGTGAAACCCCGTCTCTAC